AAATGCATAGTGCTGCAAAAATCGACCATTGAAATAGTTAGCTACCAAATATGTTATTAATTAGTTGGAAAGTGGCGACGTGCACTGAGCAGTCTGCCTTTAGTGAAAAGTGTAAGCGAGGCTGAGCGCATAACTGGAAAAAAGAAGAGACGCTGAAACAGGAAACATGACCAAACAAGTTGTCTAGCACACCAGATCATTTTATAAACACCTAAAAGAGGATTATAAGTGAACAATTTAAGGTGGAGCGTTTGCTTCGCTGCATCAGGTGCGTTCGCAGTGCTTGTGCTGTTTGATGCGGCTGACACGGCGTGAATGTTGTTTCTTCTCTTCGCATTACTCTACGGTATGAGTAACACTGGGCCTTATCTTCAAGAATTTGCGGATGTTGACAGAAGTGAAGAATTTTGACCGATTTCAAGTCTTCACCTCAAGCACAGGAGCCCTACACCAAACGAATGCTGGAGAGGTAATCCAGGTATTTTGTTTTTGTTCTCATCCCTCTGCTATATGTGATTATTATGTGCATAATAGCATTTAAAAGGTAAAATTCACGGCCATCATGTCATGTAATGTAGCATGTTCCAGTGCCAAATGAACAGGGAGGCCTGCTCTCTACTTCAAAGCAAAGCAGCAGTGTTAAGTTACCTGAGGAACACAGGAACACAGGATCATTTAAAGTCCAGGAGACTGCTTGTCAAAGTTTGTGTCAGTCACTTGGTGGAGAAGGGTGAATTGTAAGTATATAAATTCAAAAACATATTCGACCACACTGAATTTTACTCGGTGGTGTTTGCCCTGTCAGATAAGTGTTTTAATATTGTACATGCTCTGTTTTCAGTTACCCATCAAGTGCTGAAAAGCTTGTTTTTGTCACTACTTTCACATCTTTGCAGGGTCGGATTAAAGGAAAAGGAGATGGATTTGTTAGTAATGTGTAATTAATGTCAAAAACAGCCAAATGTGTTTTTTTTTACTCTGAAAGAACATTTTGGTTGTTGCATTCCTTGACGGTTGTCAGTTGGCCTTTACATTTCTCATGATAAACTAACTTACAGTTTACTACATTATCTTACTCTTTGATAGATATTAGAAATTAATTAAAAGGCATATTGTTGAGATCAATACTTTGTTCTTCAATTCTTTGTATCTTTTATTAAATCAGCAGTGGAGATGAAGATCAGGCATAGGTCGTGGATATCGAAGGGGACTTCTACAATCTTTGAGGACCCATGCTTCTTGAATATGCCAAGTGTGGTAGGTCTCATTGCAGTTCAGTCTTTACTTATTTTCTTCCGTTACTTAAAGGGATAGTTCAACCAAAAATGAAAATTCTGTCATTTACTCCCCTTCATGTTGTTCCAAACCTGTACGAGTTTTTCTTCTGTTGAACACAAAAGATATTCTACAGAATGCTGGTAATCGGACAGTTGACGGTAGCCACTGACTTCCATAGCATTTTTTTTTCTTTGCAACTATGGAAGTCAAAGGCTACAGTTAACTGTCTGATTACCAGCATTCTTTAAAAATATATTTTATGCTCGGCAGAAGAAAGAAACTCATACAGGTTTGGAACATCATGAGGGGGAGTAACAACTACAGTAACAATAACATCATTTTCATTTTTTGGTGAAATATCCCTTTAAGATATTTTAACAGACAATGCAAAAGTTCTGATATTGTTAATAACACTGTTTTTTTATATATATTTATGGAAAGATTGAGAAATTGAAAGCTGAAGCTACCATGGAAAGGAATGACTTTGCATCTCTTATGAGGGATGGAAGACCAAGCAGATGGTATGTATGTGTGAACTCTTTACTTACACACATCTCTTGTGTATAATTTATTATAACAAATATTCATTAATATATGACTTGACCTGAAGAAGGACAGATGCAGGTAATTGCACATGTTGATCTCTGACTGTTTAGGTTTCTTTAGTGCATATCTATGGAGCCGCTGTGAATAATCACAATGGTACACAAAGTCTTAAAGAAAAAAATAACACTCTCTTCACTCTTAACTTATTTAACATTAAAAACACATGCATTTAATGTAAAATAAGAAGGGCTTAACCTTAAAATTATTTGCCATCCTGTGCAGCTGGCTTGTCAGTATTGTGGTATTGCAATATTGTGGTTATCACAACAACCCTACTTAGGCTGCTCTTAATCCTGCACTTCAACATTTATTGTATCTCTAATCTGTTTTCATTCATTTTCAGATGAAAAGTGCTACCCAATGCTGGTTGTTCTGGCATTTCTTCTGCCACCGTTGCCTGGAAGTCGCTGCAGTGTTAAATAGGAAATTTCATTCCTTCAATTTCCCTTTGTAACGGTATGTTTTACATGGACAGTTATTCTTTTAATGATGTCTTAATGCTTTCTAAACTCCTGAAATGTATTTGTTTTTTTCCCCTTAACTCATGAGCCTGGAGCCATATTGCATCCCTCTGCAGCAGTTTTGAGACCGCATCAAAGACCAGACCACAGCCAATCTACATTGAGAGTTTGAAGAGCACAACATGACAATACATCATTGCGACGATTGACAAAATGACAATTTCTGTGGATGAGGGCCTGACGTCCTGTGGACAAGATATTCTAGGTGTGAAACTTCTGTCCACCACAGATTAGTTCTGTCTTCACTTTCTAAGACTGGGACATCTAATATTGAAACACCACATTCTCTTCCTTTTAAAACTGACATTCCTACTTACTGTGTTGCCTCTTTTGTGACCCAAATGTATTCATCAAATACAACTAGTGGATGTAACAAGAAGTATTACTTCACAATTATTACACACTTACAATTTTACAATATTTACAAGAGTGATTGTCATTGAGAACAATTTCAAAATATGTGCCTGAATGTTTGTCTGAACTAAAATGTTTATATTTATATGTATCAAAAAGTATCTGACTTATGAGATTAAGTTGATCTTATTTTATGAGAAATGTTATCCTCTGGTCTGCTTTCTGTTAATCGTAAGTGTAATTGATGTTGGCAACACTTTTTAAAGGGGTCACATGATGCTGCTAAAAAGAACATTATTTTGTGTATTTGGTGTAATGAAACGTGTTTATGCGGTTTAAGGTTCAAAAAACACATTATTTTCCACATACTGTACATTATTGTTTCTCCTCTATGCCCCGCCTTTCTGAAATGCGTCGATTTTTACAAAGCTCATCAGTCTGAAAAAGCGAGGTGTGCTGTGATTGGCCAGCTATCCAGTGCGTTGTGATTGGCCGAATACCTCAAGCGTGTGACGGAAATGTAATAAAAAAAACTTTAATCTGACATTTTATGTTATAAGTTGATCTATGTTATGAGAAATGTTATCTGCTAGTCTTGACTGTGTATGATTTTCAATCATCCAAGGTGTATAAGATGTAGATTATGATTCTGTATGTATACTGTATTGTAGCTAATAGTTGTAGTGCATTACAAGGCATTTGTGTCATCTAATCATCTAAATTAAATTTATGAAATTGAGATAGAACATTTTGTTGTGCCTCTGTGCATGCATTGATCCCTGACAACATTTGACAAATTAAATTGCTAACATTTTTACATCTGTCGGTTTTATTTCAATTTTGTAGAATTACAAATTTTGGTGGTAATGCTTATTAATTTTTGTCATATTAACACATTAATTGGCAGTTTCTGATCATTTTCAGTTACACATAATGTGTTTAAATGACACGTGTGTTAAATTACATTACACAGTAGATGTGTGATCCATCTTTACACACAAATTGTGTTAAATTTGACACAACGTGTTGTCCCTGAGCACACTCACCACATGTGTTAAAATTCTGCACAACATGTGTCATTTTTAACACATCTCTTTTTGCAGTGAAGGTTTTACTCTTTGCATATTTTTTTTTAGTGTTTAGGAATAATAGTATCTCTAAACTTATATACTTTGTTGACATGTACACGTGTTAAATGCTTCTGGTTTCTAATCCAAAAAGACAAGTGTAGCGGGGGAAGAGTTTCGATTTTTTTAAAGTTTTCATAATAAAATGGCTATAAAGTCAGATAATAAGACCTAAGAATTGATTTGTCATGATATAACCCTTATAACAACCAAAATGACTAACAAAACTATATATAGCTATTAAGAAAAAAACCTAGACAGAGTTGGTAACAAGTATTTGTTTCTCAGTGTAAAAGAGACACACAAACATGAGACACCATCTCAGGCCACCTCATTATAGCGCACACACATGAACAGAGAATATCGACAGCTATTCCCACTACGGCTAATTCACAAGCCACTCTGTCAGTTTAATTCACAGCCTCATCAATAAAGGTGCAAGAGCTAGTGTGTGTGTGTGTGTGTGTGTGTGTGAGGACCAGTGACAATGACTGAAGAGCTCATGCTCATAACAATTCTTAAATCTTGTTACCTTTGTGTGTGAGAAAAATAGTGTGTTCAGTGTTCGGAAGAGAGTAAAGTTAATTTAATTGAGTCATAAATAATGAATATTAACTAATAACAAAGGATTCCAGATTCCAACATGCTCTATGCACACAAACACATAAATCAAAAATATTCTCCAATGCAACAGTACGTGTGCAACATGGATTCACAACTGAAAACATAGGAGCATGCAGTCTTATTTTAAAATGGGACTAAATAGAAATTTTATAGGGATGCTTTTGTAATATTCTTTGAATGACGCACATTCGCAAAATTAAAGAAAATAATCAGCAGTCTGTTAGCATCAACTCATCTCGGCTGAGTGGCCCTCATTTGCATATCTAACAATTACAGAGGATAGTCCCTGAAAAACTGATAACCTGCATCTTTGATTTTTGGGTCACAATACGTTCTCTGCCTGCGAGGCTTGTGATATTTATCACTGAAAGATTTACCTGGAAACTCTTTCAGAGCACCTCCGGAGGAATTCTGTGTAATTACTTGCGCGCGCGCACACACACACACCATGCAGAACGCTTTGAGAAAAGGTCACTTCTGATTTGCAATTATAGTTTCGAAATCTGAGCAACTCTCCGATGCTTTTTCAAATCTTCAAACAGGACAGTGGTGTTCAAAGGCAAGACATATACATATATGCAGCTTTATCATTCACAATTATATTTAATATAAATTAAAATCTAATGTAAAGTAGGACTGTTAAAAAAAATCTAATTTCGAATATTCGTCTAATTTAGGGTGACCATATGTCCTCTTTTCCCCAGACAAAAATGGGTATTTTTGGACCTACAAAAATGTGTCCGGCCGGGATATCTTAATTTTCCAAAATGTCCGGGATTCGGCTGTTTTCTTAATTCCGCTCCCGCTGAATCTCTGACCATTGCCGCCTGCTCCATAAAAATAAAAATCCACATTCGAATGCAAAGACGTTCAAATTTTAGGTGTGTGTCAGGCAGTATTATCAGTGGCGCACGAAATGCGACGACGGTGTAAGTGTCATTGCATTTTAATGCTTTTGTTAGCCTATCCAGTTAAACCCACTAGATGCGGCGCTGCTACCTTGTTCATTCAAAATATAGCAGAAAAAGAGAACAATCAATGTGGGGAAGATGTTGTTTACGTCAAACCCGAAACCAAGCCGTTCACACAGAACGCATATTTATCGCATTTTCTAGAGGGACATTTATCACCGTTGCACTCACGCCTCGCACAAGAGCCGCATGTTTAGAAAGCTATGTAAAATTAATGTAAGATCAACTTTTAAAAAACATGTCTCAAGACTTATGGCAGTTTTCCCTATCCCACTGCATCTCAAGTTTTTAAATGAAGAAAGTACTCTTTGTGATTGGTTTTCGGTCCTTTGTATTAAACTATACATACATGCATGATGCTGTTTTGTTTCTAATTGTTTAAGCAACTTTATTAATTATATAAGGTGTATAAACGTTATTTTAAACATTATGCACTTTTTTCAAAGATAGTCGTGTTATTTTATTATGCTTTGAAGAAACATGCGTAATATTTTGCCCGATGCGCCCTCTTGTGGCCTCCGGAGAGAAGCCAAAAGCTAAAAATAGGAAAAAGCAGCAACATTCAAATTCTTGCCAATACAGATGAGTCATTAATTGGCAGATCTCAAAATTGTATATTGTTCACATGTCTAATATATATATATATATA